AAAAAATTTCATAAAAATCCAAATAAATCTATCGATCCGAGGATGGCTGCGAGAGCCGCCTTCGAATGCTAATTTTGTTATCCGAGACTCGTACGATGTAACGTCTGTTTTAACAGTTATGCTATACCCACGCAAAATGCAATCGTAACCATGGAATTTGCAATTTATGGAAATTTCCGAGTGAACAGAAATGAAGCGACGTGAAAGAAAAATAGAAGGCTTTGAAACGAAAAAAATTGTCACAAGACTAGCAATCTGATTGCAACATCTCTCGAGTCAACTTTGCTTACTTTTTAACATTTATTACTCGACTTTCAATCACAATATCTTCAAGTACAGTAAAATTCCAATTGTATGCATCAATTTGTCGGTGGATTTGGAATTTATTGATAGTCTTTCCGTTATTTATCATTTTTCGTTCGCACAGATAAGTATGAGTCATTGATTAATGACGAGTCGTCTAATAGATACGAGACTCTCTCCTAACAACATGGATCTCAACTTATTAGGAATCCACTTTTACCTGCGTAAAATTTACGTAATTTTCATTTCTTAATTCACTTAGTTTAGGAAAGAACAGATTTACTAGCATGTTGCAGAGGAACGCGCGTCTTACTTTTGAAATACGCCAATACTTTATATCATATCTGGTACTTTTACGCTGCGGTATTTCGTCCATACTCAAAATCTTACCCAAATTTCTGAAATGAATCGTCATCGCTCTCTTTCGTCCACATATCATAGCCCAGTGGCTGCCATAAATTCCCACAAATTCCTACGCTGCGTCGTCATCAATACACATCCCCCTAAATATGTGCGTGTTCATCTCCGAGGAAAATCTCGGTGAAACTTAATCCTTTGCTCGCGTGGATCCTCTTAAATTTTCATCTTGATCCCCTAAATGTTTCTATCGAGAAAAGATCGGCGAGCAACGCGGAGGAGGAGGAAGAAGAAGAAGAGGAGAAGGAGGAGGAAGCGAGTCGGGCACGAAGCAGAGCCCTTGGAAACGCTCGGTCTTTTCCTCGTCATCGTTGTCGTCTTCATCCTCGCCGGTTCGAGGATCCGGAGGGACCGAAGCGCGGAGACGTTGCCCGGTGGCTACAATCGGATTCCAAGCGGTACGTCGGCATTCTCTTTGTTGCCGATCGCTCACTGGTCTTCTTCCTCGGGGTCGCGCTCCTTCTTCCGCGCGATCCACCGATCCAGCGCCTTACCTGCTGGAATTTTTCCACCACTCGATCATGCCGGTGGCTCGCGAAGGAGGCGATAGTCCATTGAATCGTCCAATGAAGCGATACCGCGAGATCTCGCTGGGCGGTGCCCCGGCACGGCTGGCGATGGCTCTGCGAGTCCCGTGGCGGGCCCGTAGTGGGGCCCCGACGGGCCCCGACGGGTCCCGGACAGGACCCACGCTGGCCGCCGGCTGGTGGGGGGATTGACATCGACTACTGTGCATTTCCCACGTGCCCTGGGAACCCCCGCGGCATCGTGTCAGCCCCCGCTCTTCGCTCTTGCACGCTCCTTCCTCCACCTCCGCTTCCTCCCACACCTTCGTCAGCATCACTCTTTCTGGCCTCGAGAGAAACAGAGAGACAGAGAGGGGGAGGGGAGCTTCAGATAGAGACAAAGAGATCACCGGCTGCCGCGGATCCTCTTCCAGGAACCGATTCCTCCAGCTGATCCGCTTTTTTTTCGCGTGGGCGAGCAGATTGACACGCGGACTCGTTTCGGCAGCCGTTCGAGGACAAAGGCGACAGGTCGCCGCGAAACCAGTCGACCGAGTCGCTCGTAACGGTGAAACCTCCTGATGTTCCGTCCCGGTTGCGGAACCGAGCTTTCGTTCAATCGAGAGATTCGTTGAAACGAAGTTGGAAACGAAGATGCCGCGGTTGGGAAGGAAAGTTAGAGAAAGAGAGAGAAAGAGAGATTGGTGAATAGGTAATAGTCGCGGTGGCTCGGCTAGGACCGCTACCTCCTTTGTACCGCGCGACTGGCTACCGCCCCCGCGGGGGGCAAGCACGCAGAGAGAGAAAGAGAGAGAGAGAGAGAGAGAGACAGAGAATGAAAGAACTCACGGCCGGGTATTTTCTACGGCGGAGAAGAGTGGGAAGACCGTTTCGAAAAAGGGTCTTCTCGCGTGGGCGAAGAGGGATGCTCTGTGATCCGACGGTTACGAGGGCGGTCCTATCCGGACCCCGGTGGTAGGGATCGTGGAAGAGAGGGAGCAGCCGGGGCGAGGGGAGGGCGGATGAACGCTATCCCAGGAGCTCAGGAAGCCGCGTCGTCGAAGGATTTGTGAATAACCGCGCTGCTATTCGGTGACCAGTCAGACAAGGACATCGGCGAGAAAGAGAAAACCCAAGTTCCCGTGGATGAAGAAACATTGGCCTTCCTCTTCGTTCACCCTTCTTCTCTTCCCTTTTTCCTTCTGCTCCCGTTCCTCCTCCGCGATTCCACACACCGACGCTCGCTCGCCACCTCTTCTCACTCTACCACCACCTACTATTTACTACTACTACTACTACCACCATTACTGCCATTACTACCACTACTGAACTAGGCGGTAGTGACAGCGTTGTTCAAGAAAGGAAGATCCTGGAGCGTTTCTGGTAGAGTCGAGAGAGGCTCACACGAACGGAACGAACAGAGCTGGTGGGCATCGGTGAGTCGGTTCGGTAGGGAGGTGTCTCCCGGTCCTCCAACCAGAAGAAGCGAGACGACGACGACGAAGGAGACCTTTGGCGGTTACACACCGCATCCTACCGTCTTCTGGTGTGCCTACCTATTCGGGCTACCAGCGAACCGAGCGGGCAAACGAAGCTTCAGTCGACGCCGCGCACCCAAACGGTCCAGACCTGTCAGCCCGGAAGACAGCATCCCGACGCACGATTCGATAGAGAATCCAATAGAGAATCCGATAGACAGAGAGTCGCACACCACGACACAGATATATATATATATATATCTTTCTCTCTCTCTCTGTCTTTCTCTCTCTCTCACACACACACCACGACGACCAGGATTCTCCTACCTTTCTTCCTCTCTCTTCTTGCTCCCTCGGCGGCGCTCCCCGTGCGCGGATAACGAACGCGCGCGTACTCGCCGACCAGTTCCAAAGACACTCTCCAAAGGGACGTTTATTTGACCAAAAGCCCGGCAAACACCGCGTCCCACGGAACTACGGAGCGTGTGCTCTCTGCTACGTTCACCGGTAAGTGCGTCTTTCGTCACTCTTTTACTCTTTTGTCGCTGCCTGCTCTTGCCCCGCGGTAGTTCTCGTCGCTCTCGCGCGACATCCCTCGCTTTTCATTATTTGTATTATTTGTCGCGACTCGTTCGAGATCTTTCTTCTTCTTTTTCCTTTCTTTTTGGATTTTTGAACAAGTTTATCGCACGCGCGCGTACGCACACACACGTTCGAAGATCGAACGTCGTACGTGTTTCAGATATTTTTTTTTTTTT